AGCCCTGGTGAGGCAGCTGGCAGCACCATGATGAATTTGCTACGTGGAGGTCAAGGCAGCTCCTCCATCCTGGCACATCAGAGGAAACTTTGAGCTCCCTGGGTGGCTTGGGGGGCCATGGAGGAGCGCAGGGCACAGCTGGGCTCCCTGTCCCTGCAGAGAGCAGATGATGCCCGGGCTTGACGGGAAAACCCCAGCAGCTCCCTGAGCACCTCCTTCAGGACCCTGCAAAGCCATTTTTGGGATGGCTGTGGTGTGCATGGCACCTGGCACGCTCCAATTAAAGGCCAGCCCCCGCACAGACCTGCCCTGTGCGCCTTGTTTTCCCCTCAGCCCACAGACACAACTCATCACACAGCTGTGGCAGCTGGTGAGGACTGAGTCACCCCCACATCACCCCCTGAGGCTGTTGGCATTTCAGAACCCAGTGCCAGCTATCCCAACCCTCGGCCAAAAATTCCTCATTCCTAATCTGGTCATCAGGAGCCAGGCTTCCCACTGGCACCAGAGCACAGCTTTGGTGCTGTGAGCAGGGCGGGGGATGACTTATGTTCCGAATAGAAACAAAACATTTTCCTAAACCAGAGTAGCCACAGGAAAAAAAAAAAAAAAAGAAAACAAAATAATGAGAATTAGCTGTCCTATGTCCCCAGAAACAAGGCAGTGAGACTTGCACATATTTTCCATAGGAAGGTGGAAGCCCTGGCTGGATTCAGGCTGGAGAAGAACCAAAGCTTCAACCGCACCAAGCTGAGGAGCCGCGTTGCCCCACCAGATGAAAGGCTTCCACGTTATTTTCCACTGCTGGGTCACAAATCCCCAGGGAGCGTGGCAGGATTGTTTGCAGCCATAACAAGTGACGGCATGCCGCTTTGGCGAAGCGAATCATCTTCCCAGGGTGACTCGTCCACATCTGTTCCCACTCACACAGTGTTGGCCCTGTGGCACGATGCTGTGAGCGATCCCCAGGGAATCGTGGGCACTGGAGAGCACCGGGGCAGGCGAGTGCCCCACGAACCCAGCACAGCCCCACAGCCCACCCATGGGCCCTGCTGCTGAGGAACACCTTGCCATGCCCCGAGCAGAGGATGACTTTAATGACATACAGCTGCCAAAATTCACCCCCCAGAGCAGGGATGAGATCTCAGCTCACTCCAGTTTGCAAACAGCAGCTCTCAGTGAATGTGGGGGCAAATAACATCTCCAGGCATGGCTGTGGGCAGCCACCTGATCACACTTCAGTAGCTTCATTGCACAACCTGGGACAAATGCAGGAACAAATGCTCCTGACTTTTAAAATGTTATAAAGCAAGACCTACTTGCCTATTAACAGCTTTAAATTGTACTTTCTTAATTCTACCCAAAGTTAATGCACGTGTTGCACACATTTCAATTACACCTTCGACTGCTAACAATGAGCGTGTACTTATTGTCACAAAAACCTCCTTATTTGGTAGCTGCAATATCTTTATGGAGGGGTAACTTCAAAGCCTTGTCTAACCATCACGGTCAAAGTCTTTGTTTCAGATCATCGCGTGCTCTCCTACGTCTCAGCTAAGTGGCCTCGTTCAAGACACCGAAAACATGATGAGGCATTTTTCCTTGAACTGCTTTAGCGGGCAGGCTTTCATGCTCCAAACCACTACTTGAACAATACTGACAAATTGAGCTGAAAAAGAAAACCCCATCAGAGTCCTGTCCCAGCAAAGGAGTTATGCCTTGACAGTATTTTATTGAGTAGAACATGTACCTTCCAGAATCATAAATAAAGATTAAGTATTAAAGACGACCTTATTGATTCAAAATATACCGTGTATCTTGCATACAACATATTTTTACCCTCAGTTATACCAGAGGGTATTTCCAGTGGGTCGTGCCAGGACGATTATGGCCATGAGACTGACAATCAAGCCACTTCCCAAATGACCATATATGGTCCACAGCCCAATTGTGGACTTTAGCAATACGAAACCAACTGACTGCTTTGCTACTTATTAACTTGAAATTCCAGGAGGCTGTGATAAAATTCTCTGCCTGATGGTTGTGATAAGGTCCCCGAGAGCCCAAAGGTCGTTTTACTCGCCCAAAGGAACCTACTTTTACGGTGACGTCGGTGACTTTGGGACTGACCCTTCCCGCTTCTCCCACAGACCTCCCCTCGCCGCAGCTGGTGTTGACAGAGTTGCAATTCAGGTAAAAACAATAACCATTAAGAAACGACTAACACCTTAAAGCCCGGCACGTGAGAAGGGGAGCACATGGGACTCTGGTCTGGAAAACAGAGCTGTGGTGGCATCTGGGGAGCACCAGCCTGGAGGTGCTGGTCCCCTGCTATTGTCAGGTGCGAGCAAAGCCCCAGGCGACCGTGGCAGTGCACCTCGTGAGTCATGCTGCCTCCAGGCTCAGAGCAGCCTTCCTGTCCAGAGCAGAAGGGGATGTGGGCTCACCCACTGCCTCTCCCAGCAGCCCTCCTGGAGAGGCGTGGGAAACATTGGAGATTCTCTTGGTCTATCTCTGCCAGCAAAACCAAAGCCATGGGCGTCTGGTGAGGTGACTCAGGGCTGTGGCCAAAAGGAAGCGGCTGAGCCTGAGAGGAGAGGAGGAACCCCTCCATTGCTGCCAGGCCCTCATGACCCTGCTGTCCCATGGGGAACCTAAGCAGGCATACAATACGGGGACACATCCCACCCCATCCATCCCCCAGCACCTTCCTGTGAGCAGAGAAGTGACAGAGGGCAGAATCACTGGTAGCAACACACCAGCCACAGCCTCCGTGTGCCCAGCAAAGCTGGGCTGAAGGACCCTCAGGAGGAGCCAGCGGTGCCCAGGCAGCACCTTCTCACTGCTCTAAGCTCTTGCCCAACCTGTCTTTGACATCACCTGCAGCCTCATCACCCACCTCTTCTCCCCAAGAGCAGAGAGAGGCTGAGGAGGGGCTTTATTAGGGAACGTCCCACAGGTGCTGCTGGGCTGGAGGTGATGTCTCTCACCCAGCACCATCCAGAGCAGGGGCAAAAACCCAACCTAAGTGGGTTTCACTAGCAGCTTCACCCTTCTTGTGCAAGAGCAGGGCAGCCCTGAACTGGCAGGGTTTGCCAGCCTGCATCGAGAGGGTTTCACGGCCTGATAAGGAGAAAAGAGTACATTCACAGAAAGTGCAGTAAACAGAGAGATAATGCGTGCAGAAAAGAGGGTGAGCTCCCCATGTCCTCCTCACAGGTCACATCGCTGCTGCCTGTCCCTGCAGAAGGTGGCTCTGTCTGTCCTGCCGATAACACCCAGGGTGGAGGGGAAAGGGCAGGCTGATAAGGGAGCAGTCCTGGGGACAAACACGGCATCGACGAAGGCGAGTCCCTGTGGTTCGGGGTTAAAGCCCTCTTAGGCACCACAACAAATATTTGCTTTTTGATGCCAGGGTGGCCCAAGTGAGCCTGGTTTTGGGGGCAGTTCCAGGTTTTGATAACTCTGACCCTGAGGCTGCAGTCACCGTTAGAAGCCCTTGTCACGCGCTGCATTTTTAGCAAGGTCAGGTGGGAGATTTAAAACCCCTGAATCTGTCACTTTCCCTCCCTCTTTATTAGTTTCCTCCAGAGCCCGTCCTGCCCCAGGCTGGCTCGTTAGAGACTCAGTGGAGAGAAGGCACTGTACAATCCCTGCTATTTCGGAGGGTCACACACCTGCTCCCCAAACAGCTTGCAGCACACACCTGGAGAGCCACAGCTGCCTCCCCAGCAAGGCTGGGGTCTCACTGCCATCAGCCGTGCTGCGCTTTTTGGGAGCACCGCCTGCGCAGGAGCCGGGCACGGTGCTTCTGGATCTGGATCAGCACAGGCAGCATGGCGCAGGCAGCCTTTATGGCTGTCCTCAGGAAAAGGAGAGAGGATGTGAAAGCACTCTGTAAGTACAGGGAGAAATATCCAAGACACTTGAAGACGCCATTTAGCCTGACTTCTTGTTATACCTCCTGCCGTTATACCCGATCAGGGGCTGACACATGCACTCCAGCTGACAGCCAGCACGTGGCGGAGGAGGGAGGGAGGGCAGACGAACGTTTCCCTGCAAAAGCCACGCCAGTTGAAGCAATCTCACTTGAATGTCATATTGGCCAAACTCAGGTGTCTCCTCAGCCATGCGGCATGAGCCGGACCCCTGTGTACGCACCTTGGGTCACCAGCCCAAGACTGCTGTGCTGGGGACATTTGGCTGGGAACTTAGGGGGCAACACTGGAGGCATCACATACTTTTCCCAAGGCTGCACCGTGACGGCTAAGTCAGCAGGTCCTGTTAAGCATGGGCAAACGAACATGGCCGTCCCGCAGCAGCTGTCCCGCAGCAGGGCACACCACAGCTCTAGGAGAAGGGAGAAGTGGGTGAAAGTATATGGCCTGGAGCACAAGATGTTTTATCAGTTTCTCACGGCACGACTTTCCAACCAAGGCAAAAGCAGAACAAGACACGGACATGCTCAAAACCTCCATGTCCAGGGTGTCCCACCACCTTCCACTGGTGTTTCTCACACCCACCACCAGTGCCCTCCAGGAACCCCTCTCTTCCCACTGCTACTTCCCAGATCCTTTCACCATCTGCCCCATCCACCTCCTGGTCCTGCCAGCTCTTGACCTCTTACCTGGGTTGGTCCAAGGAGCCCGGACTTGGCCCGGCATTGCCCGGGGTGGTCTCAGCACAGCAGGCATCCCACAGCGGTGCTTCCCTGTGGGCAGGGGTGCTGGGGTCCAGCTGAGCAGTTGCTCCTCCGGGATGGAGATGTCAGCTCAGAAGAGCCGGTTTTTCCCCCAAGGCAGAAGTTCAAAGTCCCCATGCTGCTTTGTGCTGGGAGATGGAAGTGAGGGAAAGGAGGAAATGGCAATTCCTGTTGTTGTTTGTGATCGACACAGCTGATTGCTCAGTTTGGCCTCCCAGCTGGCCGCAGAGGGACGGATGCACAAACACACACACACACACACATATATATATTTATAGCCACACTTGCAGCGACTCATTTTGTCCAAGTCCCTGAAGATGTTGCTCTTCATCTTGCTTTTGCTCTTCAATTTCAACCCATCTCTGAGCCTAAAAATCTGCTCCTTCAATGTGAGGTCTTTTGGAGAAACAAAAATAGCCAGACCTGAAGTTGTCGATGCCGTGGTAAAGGTAGGTTCGTTTGCCTGGACAAGACAGACATGGAGCTGTCCGAGGATTTTAGCTACATAATCTTGCACTTAATTTATTTTTCACAGTTGAATTTCAAGTAAAAAAAAAAAAAAAGAAGAGTTAATAATTTAAATCATTTTATATTCTGAAAGTAAAAATCAGCCTGTGGTTGAGTAGGGTTGTTTGCTGTTATTTTAGCCTCTGTGGGAATATAACAGAAGCAACAGTTGCTGTTTCCTTTGGAAACAGAGTTAGGAAAGGAGGAAAACCTCTGTGCACAGTAAAAATAATTTTCACTTTGAATCCACAGAGCTTTGTTTTGTGATACATTATTTACCTTGCTTATGTGCTAACTATTCTGAAATATTCTTGTCTAATTAAACATATTCTCAGGACCACAGAGAGTATCGTGTTAGAGTGTGGTGCAAAATTGAAGAGCCTGATTGCTAATTTATGTAAATAAACCCTCACTATCGAGTTTCCTCCGCAGCAGCTGAGGATAACTTGTTTTTTTTAAAAGAACCATGTTTTGGCCTTACAGCTTTTGCAAGTCCCCTCTGAGACACCACAGTATTGGGGGGACATAGTGCTTGGTGTGAGCGGGATGGCTGCATGTGCCAAATGGCAGCAGGGAGGAACGTCACCGCTCAGTTGGGCTGTAATCCTTTTGTTGCAAACAGCCAGAGAAGAGGGGTTTGCTGGGATTTGCATTTCTGGATTATTTTTCCTACACTGCCAGCACCATGGGCAATATATACTAAATTATGGGCAATACATTAATTTCTTTTAAGTTTCAGGAGGTGAAAAGGGTCTTTTTTTCCACGAATATCACCCACAAAGTTTGAAGAGCGACAAAACTGTGGGCAGAAGGAAGTCCTTGAGCACACCAGGCTGTGGGGTGAGCTGGGCTTTCCATGGGAAATCCCAGCACTGGCTGTGGGAGCAGAGCCAGGCTGGGGCAACCTCCAGCATCCTGCGGCTCCTTGGCGGTGCTGCAGCCCACGGATGCCAGGACCTTGTTTTCAGACTGGGGGTCGCTTTGGGGTCTACGGGCTATTTCAGAGGGGTCTGCAACAGATGCCTGGGACGGGCAAATGCTGACAGCACCCACTGCTTTCGGAAGGCACAGCATAGTGCTTGGACTTCAGGGGTACATACACTAGAAAAAGGATGGAAACTGTTGCAGTGGGTTGATGACAGAGGCAAATAGGCTCTTCTCAACAGCCCCCAAATCCTCCTGCCCCAGCCGTCTGGGCACCCAGTGAGTTGGGACGTGTGAGCACAGCACCACTCCAAGAGAAGAAAACCTACATGGCCAGGGGCAGAGAGGAGAGAGAAGCGTGACTGACCATAGGTTTGGGGGGCCGGGGCAGCACCCCAGCAGCG